TCTTTTATTTTTTTTTTTTCCTCTTTTCTTTTTTCCCATGGGAATTCAGGTCAAGGCACACAGGAGGCTTTCCAGAAGGCATTCTGCAGCAGCACAGCTTGCTCCTGCAGGGGACATCTGAATGGCTTTGGGGGTCCTGCACAGCAACAGGAACAAGTTCGAAGAAAATTCAGAACAGCATGAAAACAAGAGTAACGAGGAGAGAAGTACAACCCCAGAGGATATTTAAGGTCTGAAGGGCTACAGGAAGGGAAAAGTATATGATTCTTTGTTTTTTAGGTAAAAAAGGTAGGTTAGATTAGGTTGTGATTTGGATTTAAGCTTCTGAAGTAAATGGAGGTGGAAAGATAGTAACGTTAAGGCTCTGAGATTTAGCAATGATCAAAGAGGGATGAAGAGCTGGCTGGGTGCTATATGAAATACACTGTAGGCAAAGGGGAAGATGGAAAGTGAACAAAAGGAAACTGCCACCTGTGCAATAGCAAACTCAAAATTGTGAGTAATGGAGACAAAGAGAATAAGCTCACATTGGGGGAACTTAGAGCTATTGGAAATTTAAAAACTAGAACCTTCAGAGCGGGCTTAGCCTCAGGATTATTTTAAAATGAAAGTAGAAAATGAAAAATATTTGGAATAGAAGAAGGGAAATTCCAGCACCTTCTCTCTAATATGAAAGAAATAAACAAGCAAAGGAAATAGTAGGAAAAGCCAAGAAGTAAGACTTACTTGTTTATATGAATGATAAAACTGTCTTAAAATAAAAAGATGATCAAAACAGGATAAGAGCAGCCTACTGCTGTATTTCTGTGAGAGTCCTATGACCTGATAGGACTCCATTACAGATTAAAAGCAGCTGCCAAGTATCTGTCTACCTTGAATTAGGTATTTTGGTACCTTCATATCATTACCATAAAATGGACTTTCTGCCTGACCTGAAAACAAACAGTACTGGCTTTTACTGCAGTTGGCAATACTGGGATTGAACCTGAAGCACCTTGTAAAGGTCAGCAGCAAGAAATTTTATCCTGTATTACTCAGTAGCCAACAGCTGGGGACAAGAGCTACAAGTTGTTTTCATTATCACTGTCAGAATTTTAATACCATACCTTATTCACATGATAATAACAGGGGAGCTTTAATAGAAAGCTACGAACAATTACTGCTGCAGTCAGAGGAGGGTGATAATCCCCCTAGTGTTTCACAGTTGAAGCCTGATGATGGCTCCTATACATTTAGCAACAATAAAACTTCACTGAATTCCTTGGAAGAGTCCAATATAAATGTGTAACCTTGCTTTGTTATGAGACATCTGGTACTGTCTGATGCAAGAAATTCTAGAATAAGTGTTTTGAAACAAGTTAACAATCTCTTCCATACCACAAATCACAGTAATCTCTAAACTCTAAAAGCCTAGATCTAGAAAAATGATGAAAAACATCCCAGGGAGTCCTGTTCCCAGACAGACATCAGCAAGGAAAGCAGTTGCTTATGGTTTTATCAAATTAATTTCAATAGTTCCATTTAAAAATTCACAATTTCCCCACTAATATTTTGCGAGATGGCCATCACACGTTCAAACATTTATCATTTCTCTCCCATCCAGGCAGTGCCACTGCCTGTGTTTCCTCTACCCATTACATTTGGTTTACTCTAGGTTACAGGGTTTACAGGTTTTTTTGCTCAAAACCCTGTAAAATCATGAAATCAGAGAGCAGAAGGAAGAAGTTGATCAACTGCTTCAGGTCAATTATGAAGACTAAGGTAAGCATTTTCCAATTTTTCTATCTTTTCATAGCCAGTTGTTCACTGTTTGAAATGACTCACCCTTGATGAACAAGATGATGAACCACCAGGTCTTGAAACAAACTGGGGGAATCTAAATTCCTCTGTCTTGCATCATGAATAGCAAGTCCATTTCCCTGACACCTCGTGCGCCCATTTTTCTCACCCCCATTTTAGACACTTGTTCACAATAGTTTTCCCAGGTGATGTTTTCTACTTTTTTTTCCTCTAAATTTTGCCACACTAAAAAAAATAAAATTAAAAATAAAAAAGCATGAATGAGTGCTTTCTTTCAGGAAACAACAAACATACTGCTCGCCCTAATGTAACGCTTGGAGTTGTGCCTGATAAAGAGCATTGGAGCAGATCCAAGCATAAGCTTGAAGCTTATATCCTTGATAAAGATACTCTCCACATCCATCCAAGAAGATCAAGACACCCCTAAGGAACCTCATTTAACTTCTGAGAATTACAGACTGGATCAACTGTTATGTTCTCTTTTTACTGAATATACGGACTGAAGCAGACTGCTTAGTGCTCTGATAACCAAAGCACGTTGATCCATTGAAATCTCTTCACTTCTATTCTGTCTAGGTTCCTGCACCAGCTTACCAGCTGAGTGCCTCCCAGTCCAGCATCAGAAAGCACATTTAACAGTCACATACGCTGAGTGTTCTTACCTCCTTGTTCAGGAGAATGATTTGTTTTGGTAGATTTTTCCCCCTAAGAACATGCATACTGCTATACTTGCATTTAAGCACAAAGATACATTCTTGGAATTTGTTTTGTCAAAAGTTACATTGTTCTCTTTTTTTGTGAGAGTGTTTGTGAGTTTGTGGAAGAATTGTTTCAACATCTTGGAGACAGGGAAGATTAACCTCCTTCACAAATCTGCATGTTGAAGTGCACCTACTGACCATGGGAGACTTGAGCAACAACTCCACAGGATAGAGATAGCTTAACTGTAAGAAACAGTCAAAAATCCCAATTCTGTGTTGGCTACAAACACAACTGCTCTATGGCAAAGATAAAGCAGTGCTAGCAGCATCTCCAGCACCATAGGATAGAGCATGGGTGCACACAAGTGGGTGAGCACTACAGCAGAAGCGCATCCATGCATGACAGTGCCCAAACTGACCAGAGTGCTGCCTGCAGCCCTGATAACAGCCCAGTACCTTTTGGAGCTCAAGAGTAAGTGGGGAGTGGCTGTTCTGAGCAGAGCTGCCCTTTGTAAAGTGCAGGGCAGTGCCTGCTGCATATGCAGTATTGAACTGTGCACTGTTACAAAAAGCAGCCAGACTCCTTGAGAACAAAACACGGTTGCAGCATCTTCTCTTATTAGAAGTGATACCACATCCCTCTAATGCCTGAAACAAATAGGAAAACTACTGGGGGTTTTGTGCCTGTAAGTAACGAGATGCTGCAGAAGCATTAGCAATGTTAACTGTGGGTGCAGCGAGAGGATCACTCCCATCCTTGCAGAGGCCTCACTTGCTATGCAGTACTTCAGGCTCTGTTCACAAGAAGACTGTTGTTTTAACAAATTGCAAGGCTGAACTGCTTCACATCCTCAAGGCTGCTAACCAAACAAGTATTCTACCATTGCACAGCAGAGCCTTGGTAGAACCTGAGCAGTTCTCCAGTGGCTGTTCTAGGAGCTCCTTTCCCTCTTCTCTGCTGGCAGAGACATGGGGTCCTCAGTCCAGAAGGAACAGGCCTTGAGTTTTTGCTCCTGGGGTGCCAAGACCAGCAGGCCCAGCCTGCTGGGAGGCCTGAGCATGTTGAGCACTGCTGCTAGAAATTCCCTCAACTCCTCAGCCTTCAGCATCTTCTCCACTCACTGAGCTAATAATACAGTTCTCACTTGCCAAGAGTTTTCAAGTCAAACTGCCCCCCAAAGCCATTGGTGCAATTCTTTCATGTCAAACGGCAGCGCCACAGGGTACCAGCTTAGCTCTTCAAAGATACTCTTTAAGGCATTTTCCTGCAGATGACTGGATCCAAACAGCTATCTGCAGGCCTGCAGTGGCAGAAAATTAAACTACCAGGCAATACTATTTGGATTCAAGCATGAGCCTGCAGATTCCCTGGCCCACAGCCAAAGCTGAGTGAGCACTATCACAAAGGAAAGCTAAAGTTTCTTCAAAGCTGAGGATAGATTTCTGAAGTTCTTGAAGAATCCAGTTTCCCCTGGGGGTTGGGAAGACAACCACCAAGCATCAGATTTTTTAGATACTATTCACAGTGAACTCCAACTAGATTAGTCAGTACATCTGTTACCTATCACATGCACCACTTCTTCCCCATAACTCCTCTGTGGGAGACATAGCCCTTCCCATTATGGAAGCACCAGACCAGCATATCTCAAACACATCCAGTTTGGTCCCTTGGTCCATCTACATCTAAAAACAGAAGAGTGGCGAGGCACTTGGTCCGTTTGTCCTTGCTACCAGTCTTTAGCCTTCTTGGTCATACATTTGTGGTGATTCTGGATTGGTACCCACTGCCAGGTACGGCCTCTGGATAAACAGAGAAATTGGAGTATCTCAGGAACTTTGCCTTCCTCAGGGCAGTGCTTGCACAAGCACATGTACTATTCTGCCTCATCTTTTGCCTTTTTACTTCAAGTCATACAAACTCACACTTGCAAGACAATAACCTAATTCCAGACAAAGGCAGCCTGCATTACTGAGAGGTGATTCAGCCGTACCACACTTGCAGGTGGCACTAAGGTGCCCCCAGAGCTGTGCTCCTCACATGCCAGCATTCAGGGTACGTAGTTATGCATGAAGATGTTCAGGGTAGATATGAAGTCTAGACTCTCTCACCCTAGGGTATATGCAAACCTGCCAAGGTCATGTTGAGATTGCTTTATCCTCTTACAGCATAAGCTGGGGGTGCATTATATCCATTAAAAGAAAATAGCTCTTTGCTCCCAAGGTATAAACTGAATGGTAGTTGAGGTGGAAAATCCTACCATCACTGATCTCAGCATTCACTGTTTGCCTTCCTCAATACTGCATGGAGAAATCCTACATCTACTTTTGAGTGCCCTGCTTTTCTTCTAAGTGAAGACACAGCTCTAGGATCTCTCTCTAGCAAGAGAACTAGGGCTAGAGAACATGCCTTCTCAAAGTGGGATTGCAAAGAGTGCCCAGGTTGTTCTTCAGCCACTGCTTTGCAGACAAATCTCCACACACAGAGCCCACAGCCAGCTATGGCTGTCACATGCCTTTACTATTCAAGAACAAAACACTTAGAAATTAGCATGTCACTCTTTACCCCTCCCCCCTCCCCCAAGCAAGATGCTCTTAAATCTCACTGTTGCTGCCAAATTGGCATGCACACATGGAAGTTTAAGTGAATAAGTTCTGTCAGAACAAGCAATCGATTAATAAAATTTGAAAAAAAAATAAAAAATAAAAAAAATCTAGAAAGATGGGATGTCCAAGCCTACCCAGATGTGCTTGTGGAAAGTACAGAAATTCCACAGCCTGTGCAGAGAGACCTCCTGTATCATCTGGCTCCAACATGGGATTCATGATTTCTAAAAGTTACATTTATTAACATTTATGACAGTCTACACGTTAAACCAAGTATCTGAAACATACAGTTTTCCCCATCCCAAATTGCTTTCTTTGAAGGTGCAGGATGTGAAGGAAATGAAGGAGGTGAAGGAAATGATGAAATCAGCACAGTTACTCTTATTCATCCTCCCTATAACGAGCTGCAGCGACACGTATCCAGGAAACCACTGCTGGCAGGCTGCCTGCCCTGGGACACAGCTGCTGGAGCTTCATGAGGAGCAGGCAGAACCTACCCTGCTGAGGTTCTACCACACTTGGATCTGCAGAACACAAGGAGCACTTCTCCCTTCTTCCCCTCAGAAGCATGGCAAAGGTGCCCAGCCACCCGGCTGGACTGTGAACACAGGGCTATGTAAAGCAAAGCAGTGAAACAGCAAAAATAATTATAGAAAACAGCAGGACAATCCCAACAAGCGAAAAAGGCATGTGCATGTAAATAAAACCCCAAGTACTTTCTCCTTTATGTACTTCCTATCTTGTTTCTCAGCAGCCCCATGCACTAGAGCATTCCCTCCCTGTCTGCCCACCAGCAATAACAATGCAGCCTCCCATTTAAAGTCTTCCAGTACAGCCTGCTTCCCACCCCTTGGCCAAGCTGTCATTTCTTTGCCTCAGTGCCCACCTCAGGTAACCCCTTTGGATCTTCATGAAAAGCACCGCTGTGCTGCTGAAGCAATCACATCAGATCTTATACCAGCTGCATTCACTAACAGTTGACAGAAACAAAGCAAAACTCCCTCATCCCCTATAGCAAAGATACATATATTTTTTTTGAAGTAATCCCTGAAACAAAACAGGAATATGTTTTTTTGCTTCAAATAATACCATTACACAACACTTCTTCCACATAGTCTATTGTGAGTGTTTTTCCAGTGCCTGTGCAGTCAGTTATTTCATAAGAAGGTGCTTTATGTGCTATCTGAGGCAGCATTCATACAATCCCACATACCCGCACTGTTGCTATGGAAATCATTCCTCTTTAAGCCGATGTGCAAATGCAGGTCTTATTGCTGAATGCAGAGGCTAAAGGTGTGCATGAGTCAAGTGATTTGTTGTGTGTTACTCTGCAGCACCTCTGTGCTGCAGACAGATGCTTGCATAAGGAGCAAGGCATACAGGAAGTTGTTAGTAGGATAAAGACAAGGCCACAAAGCCACAGGAAAACTCTGGCTGAAAACTGCAGTTCAGCATGATTTGGTTGCCCAGCACCTGCTGCAGGTGACATAAAGAACAGGATCCAGGCACAGGACGTATCAAGCTTAGAAATGCTGTGGGATGTACATTTGAGAGGAAGGAGAAAGCTGCAATGTACTATGTCAGATTTAAGGCAGACAGTATCCTGCCCTGTCTATAGACTTTCTTCCACTTAAATCTCAATAATAAAATTAAACTTCTGATCTGGACTTGCTGTTAACGACAGTGGCAGCAGAGGTGTCAGGAGGGCATTCTGAGTCCAGTAGAGAGTCATGTTCACAAAACACATGAAGAAGACAGGCTTTTTCATACCTACCACACTTGGAATCAATTTCAAGTATTCCTTGAGATCTAAGGCTAAATACCAAAGTAAATACCAGAGCATTCCCAACCAAAACATAGTTTAACATCAGCAGTTGTTTTTCAGTAACAGCCTCTGCCCTCCCATAACGTAACAGAGGAACTTACTGCCTCCAGCACTCAGTAACTTCTCCACCAGCAGAAACAGAGAGACAGAGAACAGCTTACAGCAGCCAGCAGCAGAGCCCCTCTGCACCCCGCTCAAGCACTTATCTGCTTGGGGTTTGTGGTCATCATATCTTCCACAGCTGACAGCACACTCGACATTTACCTTTTACAGAAGGCTGCAGCAGAGAAAGGCAGATCCATCAAAAAGCGCATGTAGGGTTCTTTTCTTCCATCCCACTTACAGGACTGTTCCTGCAGAAGATAGGCAAGTGATCTGTCACTGAAACTAAAGCCACATCCCACCCCTTTTCTTACTCCTGCTACTAGAGCTGTAAGTGTCACACCCATCCTGTCTTCTTATTTATTTAAACTCACCGTAGACTTTAGGGAAAAGCACAGCAAGCGGTTTAAAGTTATAGAAGTTTTTATGTAACTGTTCTGTCCATCAAACTGGGGAAAGGCAATAAGTTGAAGAACAAAATACAAACACAAAACATCTCAGCTCATGCAGGAAATAACCTCAAAGCACATCTCCTTTGGGGCACTGTTATACATGACCATTAGACACATAACAAAGGAAACAACCCATGAAGTTCTCCCTCAACCAGAGCTCAAAACAAAGACAGCACTTACTTCAGCTCAGATGTAAGAAGGTTACTACTGTAACTATAAAAACCCAGAGCTACTTCCTCTCTGGCTGATCACTCCATACAACCCACCTGTCCCCTACCCTCCTCTTTTTCACTGCCTGCCAGGAGAGCAGCAGGTGGGCATCCTAAGCAGGAACACCTGTGGGTTCAGCACAGCTTGCTAGCAGTGTGCGGGGGTGCCAGGGATTTAAAACAAAAGGAGACAGTGGTGTCTTGTAAAGTTTGTAATGAGTCTAAATATCTGTGATGAACATCTTTATGCTGTGTTTGGATGGTCAATAGCATCTCAGTATTCTCATAAGCTGTTACACTGTTCTATGAAAATAATCCACAAGTACAGGTGTTTCCAAATGCTTTAAGAATCTATGGTATGAATGTTAATAGATTACATAAAATCATGCTGTCATAAAGGAGAACACTATGATTGGTAAAGTAATATCAGAATTACCCACAGGCTGCAGCCCTGTGGATGTATGTCTTTTGTGTTGTGGTATGAACATATTTACTGTTCCTCAAATGGTTCCAAATATGTAGGTGAGAGATGGAGAATATAAATGATGTAAGGTAAGAAGGGATTTAATTAGAAGAGTGTAGAATGCTGGAATATGGTATTGTGGATTAGAAGCTCACTTGAACTGTTAGAAAGACTGTAAGAGAAACATAGAAAAGGAATAGTAGAGGAATAGCTAAGAGTAATGTATGGTTTCCATAGCCACCATTTCTTCTATTTTTAGTATAGCACTACTCATGCTGAATCATGTGTCGATTTCTGAAATGTAATTGTGAATGAATTTCATTCCCGCCTAACATGATCTGTTCAGAACATTCATAAATGCAGATTCAGCACCATCATCAATGGGGAAGGATCCTTCCCATGTGCATGAAAGCCATACTTCAGATCCTCTACGTGTCGTAATTAAACTCCATTTCAGGAGAAGATATCTCTTATCTGATAACAGACCTTGTTGTGCCTCTTCGCACTGATCCTACAGCACAACCTTGCTCTGGTCCATCTGGTCATCAACACATAGACCGCAGTTGGAACAACAACACATCATATACACTAGGAGCATTTTCATCTGATGTGGCTGCTAGTCAAATTAAGGATGAGTGCTGCTCAGCTTCCCCCACCACTCCCCTTGGCTGCTGAATTTATTTTATGGGAGCGTTTGTCCTGTAAACAAGAAGGAAATCTTGTGGGAGTTCTCTTCATTTTAAAAATTTTTCCAGAAACTTTTAAAGTTAGATGCTGCATAATGCAGTGTGTCCATCCACTCAGAGGAGTAGAGTTGGGCTCCAGTATTTTTTACGCCACAAAGCTGAGAAACCAAATGATGCTTCCTTCACATCTGAAGGAGCCTTTGGTTCTGAGTTCAAAACTGACCATCAAACCTAGATTTGGAGCTTGAGAAAGATGAAAGACGGACAATGAGATTTGGTTACTGTGTGTGACAGACTACTGCTTCAGGAGGAAACCTCCCAGTTAGTTGGCTGATAAGCACCAGGAAATCGCAGCCAAGTTGTCACTGTGCATGCAGCAACATGGTTCCAAATGTTTTATTAAGTCCAGGACATCCAGCATGTGCCTGAACATGACACATGATCAGAACAACTGTGCAACCACCCACTTGTGCTTGGAGTGAAGTGTCCCAAGGGCTCTGGATCCCACGCAGTGCAGGGATCAGCACACGTGAATGTACCAGGCCTGAAGCATGGAATGCATCGCTTTGTAACCAGCCTGCACTCTGACCACTGTACACTCTGGAGGTTTTTTGGGTGGTTTGCAGTTCTGGCTGCAAATGACTGTGATGCAGTGAGGCAGCAGGGGCAGCTATCTGGCTCTGGAAGCTATCCATAATCTATAAGGTCTGGTAATGCCTATAACGTTAGAATCCAGCCCCTGGGTAAAAGGAGGCATCCACAGGGGCCTGACCTTCCTGCTTGGTAACAGCAGCTCCTGGCCCAGGAGCCTGGATGACTCCAGAGTGACAGCTCAGTATCCCAGCCACAGAGGAGAATACATAGTTGTCCCTATGCGACACGAAAGATGACACTGCTTACAGCACACAATTTTAGCAATCAGACATTTGTTATGAATACGTAGCAGCTGCAGTTGCGAATAGTTTGTGGTGTGAAGGGTTTCCATTCCCTGTATGTACAGAGAGAAGGCAGAGCCAGCAGTTGCTGAGGTTATAGTCCTCAGCCCAAACCCCATGAGCTTCTGACCCCACATAATTTGCCTGGTCCTAGTGGCCCTATGGGAGTACAGCTGTGGAGGTGGTGTTGCCTTGCTCTGGTGGGGATGAGTGTTCCCCGCTCCACATTCAGCCCCTCACAGCAGCTAAGTTTGTCCATTTCTGACTGGTACTTTTCACAGTTACTTGATTCCTCTTTCTCCCTTGGGACTATTATGTCTAACGAAAACTTCATGTCCTTTTGAAGATACTGTTAGCAGTTATTCCCTTTCATCCCTCATGCTCAAGCCATCCTAATGTGGAAGGAAGCATGCTAAGATTGATGAGATCATAACAGTCATTCAGCCTCACAAAAATTTAGAAGCTAGCTGTTCTTGCAAACTAGGAAGAGATGATCGAGGAAGTTCATCCAGATGCTCTCATCTCTCTTCCCTGAGCAGAACTGATATTAGTATCTTGTTCCTGTCAGCAAAATCTTCTGGCTGAGTTTTTGTATTCTGTTGCCTTTGGATGAATATTCTCCTCCTTCTGATGCAGAGGCAGGCTGTGAACTTCAAAATGGTGATGTCTGTGGTCATTAATGCACCTAGTGATACCTTCTATAGTATGTTCTCCCTTGTATGATATCTCTTCATGAGCCACCTCACTGGTTGGCTGCTCACAACTGTCAGGACATAAGTGAGATAAATTTTCTGTGTGCTGGTCAAGGAGAGGGTAAAATGTTTATTTGTCATCCTAAGTGAACTGGGGCAAACTGTCAAATCCAGTAAAGATACAGCACAATCTACTGGGAAGGTGGCCCCTATTTTGTGGTTATTGGGCTATCAAAAATCAGTGTAGACTAACAGATGATTTGGGGATTTGTTTTTAAATGATGGTGCTCGTATGTAGTAACAGAATAGCTCAGGGGCTTTTTCTGTTAGCAGCATATCTGTTTTGGATATACTAGCTCAGTCAGCTGGTTTTTAGCCAGTTCGAGGCAAGAGCTGATTATGGGGGAGGCTTCACACTCACTTATGGCATCTTAAGGGGCTGACAACTCTTTAAGTATATATAGCCTTCAACTCATGAAAGTTATGTACTGGATAGCTTACTACCTGAAAAGAGAAAAACAGAATAACCTGAGGTACAGATAATCAACAGGTAAAACTATAAGTTCATTATTAAAAAAAATTGACTTATTTGCTTGAATGGAATGCTGAAAGTACAAGAATATAAATCAAAGGTAAAATTCTAGGTTTGAACATTTTGGTTTAACAAACTCTTTTTGACTATTCTGACAGGTACAGAATTATAGACCCTACTAGCAGCAATTGGTCATTCTGTACTGATTGCATACTAATGTTTGTTTTTTTTTGTCTGGGATAACATTTCTGTCTGTGGCTAATAGTTCATTAGTCTCCTTATGCTTCAACAATCCATACTCCGCTAATTCACTTACATTATCAACTCTCTATATAGGCTGAATTTATGCAATTTATGCTTTATGTCAAGATGAAATTGGCATGTCCTTACACAGTGATTAGCGCTCTGTATTTCAAAGCCTGTCAGTAGGCAGTGGAAACCATCAGCTCATAAAGAAACCAGTCAGGCTGCTATTTGCTTCTGCACAAGGATGCACCTTGTGGTCTGTGATAGAAAACTCCTGATAAATGCTGAAACTAAACAATTCCTGTGTTCAGAGTGGGCTTTCCATTACTTCTCAGGTACCTCTCAAAATAGATTTTATTCCTCAGCAGTCTGGGGAAGAACATGAGTCCAGATTTGAGTTCAGCCTGTAAGTAAATAAGATTATTTAAAGTTGAATAGTGTCTTTTTTTCTCAGATCAAAAGTCAATGGAGCATAGAATATACTTGCATTAGTCCCCAGTTTTATGTTAAGAAATTCTCACCGAAGTAACCACTTCAAAGAAAATGCATGCCTAAGAGAAAGTACTCATTAAACTCTTCATTGTTGCCGCCTTCTTATTTTCCAATAAAAGATTATTTCTGATGAAGTTGGATCTTCCATCCTCTACATCAGTCTATTTTCTCAAGTTCTACTATCTCTTCTATAACTAGAAAGATCATCCAAGCATGCTCATCATTGGCCTGTTTCTTCCTCAGAAAACTGTCTGCACTGAAAGAGCAAGACAGGGTTGATAATCCATAATACATGGGATGGTCTTTGGCCTCTAAATCCAGAAAGGCAGTTTCTAACATAAAGAAAATGGGAAGTCTTCTGCAGGTTTTGGAGTACATGTTTTTCTCTGGCTCATAAACTGCTAATGCAAGCCACATGTAACTGTCTCCCATGGAAAAGCCACCTGAGTGAAAAGCAGGTGAAGGTGAGTCACGTGTCGTCACATGTCTTGGTCCTCACTGAGCCTCTGCTCTCTAGCACAGATAAGAAACAGGAACAGACATGTGAGAGAAAAGTGCTAAAGATGAAACAGAAGTTTGAATGTTATTTTTTTTACTGAACACCTCTTTTTTTTTTTTTTTTTTTTTTTTTTTTTAAACTTGTTCACCTGTGATATAGTGATAGCAGCTTTAAAGAGCTTCTTAAAGGTAAGCAGTGACTTGTCACTGGGGAAGTGAGGAGTCTTCAGAATGTGCTATGTAAACTTTATCGGCTCTCTTTATGTTGTATCTCTGGAAAGAATCTATGTTAAAATGTGAAATAGCAAAAAAATTCCTGCATCAGATGTTTCTTCAAGCCAAGCCAACATGCAGATCTTTATATGATAAGTCACCCTGGGGAGCTGAGGAGCCTGGAGTGGTCACAGTCTAGATCAACATGTCAGTATGCCTAACATGGAGGCCGTATGGATGGCTATGGCTATCATTACTCAATTAACATGGTGCAGTAATTTAGCTTAGTCATAAAATTTCTTGACTATTCATCTGTTCAGTTACATATCTGTAGGCTTACACTTAAAATCTCCAGAGACACCACATGGAGTGATTCCACACAACTGTAACCACGTTATGAACTTGGAGGCCATTTACAGAACTCAGGCTGAGAACCTAGAAGTTAACTGATGCCAAGCTGACACCTGAGTTCCTTGCAATTTCTGATGGCTGCTTAGTTTCATTTTTAGTAACAAATGGGTACATTAGTCTCTGAGTGCATTAAAAATACTCTTCAGAAATGTACATTCCACTGGAGTAATTCTGTGCCAATTCAATGGCTTTGGGGCAGTCTACTCAAGCAAAATTCTTTTTCTATGTAAGAATGATCAGCATCTCCCTGCAAGTACAGGACAAGTATGGGACTGCTTCAGAACTGTCCATCCCACTTGCCTTGGCATTTAAAGGTGGCAGAATCTCCTGCAGCTGTGGATGAAACACTGTCACTCTGGGAAAGCTGCTACCATGTGTCCCTACTATTGTTCTCAGATAACAACAAGCAAGAAAATGTTTGTTTTTTCCTCACTTCTGAAGGCTCCATTAATATGTACAAGGGAGAACTCCCTCGGTAGCAATGAATCACATTAATTAATGGACACGTGAAATAAAATACAAAGAAAATATGCACTCAAGGGGACAATCTGTGTGTATGAGAGTACATGAGTCTCCGATGGAGACAAATGGGAGATGCACATACAGACAAAAGGGAGAATACATTCACCACAGTGTATGGAAAAAGGCCAGCACAGAACAGAATGGAATGCATACAGGGATTAATGCTGGATTACAGATGCCTGTGGCAACTGCTCTCAATAAATTATAGTTAGATCAAAGAAAAATAGAACCCTTTGATAAGAGATTAACAAGTGCCATTCTCATATGTACAACTGTAATTAAAAACAACAACAGCAACACATTTTAACCCCTTACTTGAGATACTAAGTTTTTTCTTTCCAGTATTATTTATGAGTTACTTCTGGCCACTCAGGAATAAAAACAACTTTCTCAGTGTCTTACTTCTGTTACAACCAGCTACCAAATAAACACACAACCATTATTTTTATGCATACACCAATAATTCTGTAATAAAGAAAAGCAAAATTGGATTTGGTTTCATCTATTTTCCACAGTCTTTTCTTGCCCTAGGATATAATGAACATATGCACTGTTTACAGCTCAGAAGAAAAAAAAAGCAGTTTTTTGAAAGGTCAGTGGAAAATTAAGCAGTAAATCCAGAAGTTGCTACAAATGTGAATATCCTTCCATCATCTTATCTGAAATGTGAAGGCTGCTTTTTTGTTAACTTGTACCTTGTGTGGAAATGTGCATTCTGACTGTTCCCTTCCAGGATCAGAAAAGTGGGTAATCCAATACACATTCCTCAGCAACTCTTGGGCTGCAGTTTTTGCAGGTGCCTCACGCAGAAAGGAAAAGACTGCTGCAAATCTGAGCATTTTAATGCTGCAATCAATTAGTAATTCTATCTTTACATGACTAAAATGAAGTGTCTTTACATGACTATTCCACACTTCTGAAAAAATACATTCAAAGTAAAACTCAAATCTTGTACTATAGCCTTATGAGTTCACATCCTTGAACTAATTCATCTACACATTTCTCATCTTAAGGTAAAACCTACTATTTTCTCCCACTTGTCCTGGTTGCAGAAATCGTAAGTAGAAAGTTAACTGCACTTGCAGAGTGTGTTTAATAGTTGACTTTACTTCTTAATCAACCGGCAGTGACAGTTCCAAAATTTTACTTGTATTAAATTCACTTGGTTCAACAGGCTGGAGGTCTGCTTGTCGGCTACATGTATTCCTGTAAGTGATACTGCAATGCTCTGAGAGCTCATTTTACCAGACATTCATTTCCAATGAGAAGATGTTTTCATCCTGCCATCAACATTTTATGTCTGATACGGCTGTACTCTTCCTCCTTCAAAACGCCTTGTGGAAGCAGCACCATTTCCAACATGATTAGCATCAACTATAACATTTTCCATAAAATCTGAGACATTAAGCTGAGGGAGTGGAAGCATATTCTTGGGATCTATTTACTTGGATTTACTACACTAGTACCACAAATTCACTGTTTGTGCTTCTGGGACAGAAACTGCGTATAGCAGTGAACCTCTAAAATGAAGTGACCATTGCAGTGAAACACGTGGAGCATATACCAATAGCATTATAACTGCTGGGTAGAGCTTCAAAAGCATGCGGCTTTTTGTTTTGGCTCTTTTCAGAATGAATTAGCAACATTTTTCTCTAGTTGCTGATTGATTGCCTGAGTTTCATCAAGAAAACTATTCTTACCATCTGTGCAGGTCTCTGGGTCAGCTGGTGATGACTTCTGAGAGGAGGTGACAAATATCAATTATTTTTAAAATGAAATCTTTTGTCCCTACCTCAAAGGAGGGGTGGGGGAAATTCCTCTGCCTTCTATGATCCAACACGAAATGAGGAAAGCCTAACAGGAAGTTGTGAGGACAATCACAAATTCATCTGTACAGGGGCACAAACTCAATAGTTATGCCAATAAAATGTGCAAATATATGAGTTTCTCTGTGACCATGAGTTCAACCTTTTGAAAATAAGGCTCAAGAACACTGGAAGTGAGAAAAAAGAATTTCCTAGATCTATTTGGGCTGGAAATCAGGCAAAGTTGGTCATCAGTCTGAGATTTCCTAAACTTCCTGGACACAGGAAGTCCAGGACCCCAGTGAATGTGAAATGTTTCATTATTTCTCTTCCATTTCCTGCTTCAAACTGAGAAATGGAGAAAGATATTAGAAAAACAAAATCCAAATACAAAATAACTCATTAAAACTGGGCTACATGCACAAGCTGCAGTTTCTTGGCAATGGTCTGAATGATTTCTGATTTCCTCTAGCTCTCCCACTCCTGCTGCTGAATGGGGAAGTGATGCCCTTTCCTCTCTTTGTAATAATGTGATATAAAAGCACAGGATTACTCAGCAGGATTGAATGACCACTCACTTAGCAAAAAGACAATGCTGTGATCTGGATCAAAGCATCAGAGAATGCAGTGACCTCTTCTTTCTGTTCTGATGGGAACACCACAGGCGGTCACCAGGTGAGAACCCTTGGTTGTCTGACAAGGTGGGTGAGTCTGAAGAGACACAAAAAGCAAAGTTGATAGAAGTTTTGTATGTGGGATGTGTGTGAAATAAAGGCAGAGTATGGGCCCAGCTCAGGCTCAGCAAGAGCTAGCTTGGCAGTGGCAAGTGACTTTTTGCATTCTTTAACAGCCTTTAGTGAAATTTAGGGAACAAAGGCCTACAGCACATTCACCTTTTCCATCTGGCCCTGGTGTGAAGATGCCTCTGCTGAGAGAAAACTGCTGTGGGGGAAATATTTGGTATTTTCTCTTTTGAAATATCAACAAACTAAAAACAGTGCCTGCAGATTAATGCCTTGCAGTTTCTAGGCCCAGAGAAACCAATTTAGATTAGTTGCTCCTCTTTCTTCCCCTCTCATGCATTCCCTACATTTTTCCTTGAAATGAAATGGAATACAGAAGTCCATCCCAAAGTGCCATAACAGACTCCTTTAATACTTTGATGCTTTAGAGAGGGCACAAAGCTTTTTCCAAGTCCATCATCTGACACAATTTTTTTTTTTTTTGCTCCAAAGTTATTCCAAATGGCTGAAAATGATGATGATTAGAGGAAAACACGGGAAAGGATTAAGCAAAATTTAATCGAGAAAGAATTGGACCCCTTTAAATACAGTGAATGCCAATCTATGTGGTTAGGTGCAAAGCAGGCCTTGCTAAACAAGTCTCTTTCCACACCATGACAGGTTTTGTTGAGAGTAGTTTGTGTGTTACTGCAGTTTATTAGAGACTTGCCAAAGCATTTCACTCATAGCATGGGTTGGTATGATTAAAAAGCATGCATTATATGGAATTAAAAGGATGCACATTGGAAGAACTAAGAGCTGGCTCCCTGACAGATCGCAGCATGTCAGTCTCAGTGCAGAGAGAGCAAACGAGTGGAACTATTTCCAGCAGATTCCCACAAGGATCAGTTCCTGGCCCAACATTGTTTAGTATTTTCATCACGTGTCCAAACAATGGTATAAGATCAGTCCCAAGATGGTTGGGAGCTGGAGGACTGACAGTGGAAGAAATGGCTGTAGGAGCTGGGCTTGCTCAGCCTGAAGAAGAGAAAGTCCAAGGATATATTGTAGCACCATAAGAAGAATTTGTGAAGAAGGCAGAGCCAGGTTTGTTACAGACATCTACAGGAGGTGAGAGGGAGACTATGGTCATAAATTGAAATGAGAGATGTTTCAACTGTATGTAAGAAAAGAACTTGCTATCGGGATACTCAGGAATTGGAGCAGGATGACAAGAGAAGTTATGAAATCTCTGTCCTTGGAGGCTTTCAGGAGCTGACCTTACCTGTATTATGTTCCAGCCCTGTTTGGAGCAGAGGTGTGGAAAGAGATTATACCCCAAGGTCCTTCCAGCTATAGCATGTTATGACTATAGCCTAGTTTATTCTGCCTGGAGAGACATTTGGGAATTCTGTTAGATAATTGTTTCAATGCATACTGTAATGCAGTGCTACAAGGAAGTGCAGTGCTTGGATGCAATACTTGAAAGTATTCAAGGAGAAATAGATGCTAGTAGAATGTCGTGCCCAAACATAAAACAGTAGAAACTCTGGAGAGCATTCAAAAGAGCTCTGGCACATCTTCCTGAAGCATTTCAGAGAGATGTTTGCATCACCCAAAACTAGAGCATCCCCTTACTCTTACAAAGGAAAAAAGGTATCATACTTGGGACAGCTGTACTTACAAGGTCTCAGGCAAACATAGAGCAAGATTCAGTATGGGAGGCTTTAATTTAAGATAGTGTAAAATTCAAAATAAAACACTGAGGGAAAGGCAGAAAATGTCACTTTGGAGTGAAGCTGAATTCTCCATTGCTAGTCAAAAGCACTAAATGTGCTTCACTGCAGAGCAGTTGCCAGCCTGGATACCTGCTGGATTATCAACATGACCAGGATTTCAAAGTACTCTCACGTTGTATAGCTGAAAACTTGTTCTGCATCCCTCTAGCTTTCCTTTTCTGACTGATTGAAGTTGTTCTGCAGTATTTATGAATGGCATAAACCTTTTTTACAACTCCATACTGGCACAAACAAACCCTGTTGCCACAGCTGAGCACATAAAAACGTAGTAAGATGTTACGTGAATATAACATTGGCACAGGTTCTGGATACACAGAACTTGACCAACATTGCTGACTGAAGGCCGAGTGTGCAGCCAGCAGATAACCCTTCTGACAGATAACTGTTCTGGTGCCTTAAGCTGCACTTTGCTGCTTAACTGAGAACCATTCTGGTGAACTAGCTAGATTCACATGTACTGCACAAGTGCAATTGTGATAGAGCTCAAGGTCTCAGATACATTCCAATCCCTTGCTTTTAAATATAAATCACTGATTTTTTCAGATTGTGTGGAAATCCCAGCCCTAATGTCATCTGAGCAGGGTTTTTTTAAGCACTACAGTAAGTGATGCAATCACTCACTGCTGGTTTGGGTTTCACCAGAGCGCTATGAAGCCCAGATCAGCAACCTCCCAGACTGTAACTTCTTTGCTTTGTTAACAGCTAATATGAACAAACTGAATTATAATCCCATCCCACTGTTAATTTATTAATTTCTTATACTCTGATTTTGTAGTTAAAACAAACTTTGCGTACCTTGGTGAAATCTCGTTTGTTTTCCTAAGGAGATAGTTTGTTTCTCTTCAACATTTTACCCAAAGAAAGATACATTTATGAGAAGTCTCAAAATTGGTTTAAACAGGTGATATAATAATTCCTTGATCATTTAAATTAATCAAACATACATATATACCAGAGTGCTGAAAAAGTGAGGGGATTGAGCGATATACCCAAACTGCATGGTGATGATAAATTATCACAGAGTTTATTTGCTAGATAAATACATTCCTGCCTTTTATGGAAAACAAACAGTCAAAATAGAGAAAGAAAAACAGTTACTGCAATATATTATGAGTTAGTGCTCCATTGTGTATGAATATGTGTAACGTATGAATGTGCACTCAGAGAAAGAAAAAAGCCATTGCACACTGAAGGAGAAAGCTGTGGGTTACTGTTCCTTAGGAGTATCTTTGGGTATGCAATACCCATGGCTGCACACTCACAGAACATGGGTTGCTGGATTCATGCCCTCTGCAGTGCACAAGCACTTTCTAGCCCCTGCTGCCTGCCTGCCTTGCCTATCTAGCAGCAGGAGATGCCAGAGACAGCCAGGCACCGCACAAGGCAACACCTTGGGTGCAAGGGCAGAGCCAAGGGCAGAGGGCTGGGAGGTGCCTGTTGGCTGGGATAGTGACAACACTGAAAACACAATGGTGATACACTTGACAGGAAGTGTAATATTGTTTGTATCACACATAAAGCTTTCCCTCTACTATTAACAACTTTAAAAATTACTTACAAGCATTCTTTACACTGCTCTGACAACTCCTCTTTTGATATCTGGGAATGGGCCTGCTGCCTTTTTGTGTTTTCTTCTGCAAAGTTCTTGTGGCAATATAAATTGCCTTCACCTTGCAGCTCATTGCAGATCCGTTAGCAGACCAGCAAGTGTTTTCCAGATTCCTGTTACACATCTCCCACTGACCATCTGCTATTACTACCTTAACAGAGATGCAAGAAATCACTTGTTGAAAGGGGATTACGTGGTTACAGCCCAGCACAAGGCTGCAAGCTCATTATGCTACTTCACCTTCTAACATTAAGCAATAGCAATAAGCAACAGGGCTAGAGTCTTAGTAAAAATGCACAGGTTCATATCAGCTATCTCAGAATAATTATCTTGGTTCACATGACATTCAGCTTACGAGCATTGCATTTGGTCAGTTTAGATTGTAACCCTTTGTTACAGCAGTTTTATGTATGGGGCTTTTTTGTTTTTGTTTTTTTTTTGTTTTGTGTTTTTACACAGCAACTCAGGATTATCAAGGAAGACTCACTTTTATTTCTGGTTCTCCATAGTCAGCAGAGACTGGATGCTTTAATTGTTACATGTGGCTGGATTTTTTTTTGGCAGCTTGATGTGAGAAGTGGGTCAGTGTTTCCCTTTGGAACACTGAGATGTTAAGCTCATGTGGGCTCTGGATTCACTGGCCATTTGCAGAGAAAGATCTACCCGCTTACACTGTCTTGGATAAGTTTTGCTGGTCTAGTTTTATATACCAGGCTGTCAGTTCTCTGCTGTGATCTGTTACCAATAAACAAGAAGTGATCTTTTCAGCCATTCTACTAGGGTTGCAGATCTCCCATAGAAGATTCACAGAATAATACAGAGCAAGATAATCTGTTGCTGCACATTTACGGACAAGAAAAAGCTAAGCAGAGCTGCCTCTGATCACAGAGACACATAGCAGGAGCACAATGCTGCTGCAAGAAAGGGCCCTGCAGTGATTCAGGACATACCACTCTCTGGGAATGATATCCTGGCTCCACTTCGGTTTGGAAAAAAATGTTCCAAAAGTCTCTTGAGCTGCCACATACTCTATTTTAGTTCTGGAGCTCATCCTCTAATGTCATATATATTCTGAGTAGTAAGGGAACCACCTGATGTCCAGCTTCATTTCAGGGAAAGGGAGGGCATAGGTATGATGGGCACTAGAAGGCAAGTTTGGATGTACTCACATTACTGGTAAATAGTTCAGAGGAGAGACACCTTGAAAGGTCAGTGTCATGAACATAGCATGCTAATGATGCTAATGAGATAAACAACACCCAAGATAGCTAGATCTTAATGCAGTGGAGCTCTATGTACATGTTGCACAGGAAGTACCTGAGACTGACTTGTTTCAGCCAGGTGACTTGTCCTGCTTGTGCCCCACCGGATAGAGTCTCTTAGCACTGCAGAACTGATTTTCTTGGCGTTTATCTACACTCTTATTGCTGAAATTAGTGCTTGAACCTGTTGTAAGATTGCTTTCTGCTGGCATTCATTCTCCTCCTTCCAGGCTGTTCTGATTTATGACACAAGAAAACCTCTTTATTTTTTCCAAAGTACTCCATAACTCCTTGTACCCCAAACACACCCAATAACCATTTATTTCTGTAACTCAACCACCAAAACTGAACAAGTCCTGAACAACTGAACAGTGCACCTGTTCTCTTGCATTCAAATGAAAAATATGCTCTGAGAAAACAGCATTAGTTTTACTTTTTTGGCACATGATATAATTCATTATTTTGCTTACGATCACTGTCAGTGTCCCAGAAAAATGCAAAGTTTGCTGTTGCAACATGTTACACTGACTGTAACTTCTCATGTCATAGGCTAAAAAGCACCAGAGACATCATTTTGGTTTAGTAATCCTTTCAGAAAATTCCTGCGATCAAATATAGAAGACAGTCATCATGATGAGAAGAGTCCTTTCCCCTAAAACTGTTTATCATCCCAGAATAAATAGCAATGAAAAGAATGGCTTTCCAAGACTTAAGGGGTCACAATCCTCTTATCAGGAAGGTATGACTCCAAGTACTGTACATAAGCCACTTACCCTTCCCAGCACCCTGCAGTCATCTGAATGTCAGTTAGAAAAAAAAAAGAAAAAAAAAGATGAAGCTATAGCGCTACATCAACAGACAGCTGTCCCAGTGGGCACTGGGAACACAGGATGACTCGCATTGCTGAGCCATGCGGTCACGGCCAAAGGCACGATGAGCTCACATTTCATTCCGATGCACATACGCGGTGTGGTCAGACTGAGGGACTCGGCCACCCTCACCCTCCTGACGCCCCTCACCCGGTCTCGACACTAGATCTGGCTAGTTAACATGTCTGGAATGAGCGCGAGCCTACCTCCCAGCTGGCAAGTCTTCAGGCGTACTCGGATTCCAAGGTTGGAAGATTATCTCATTCAAGCATAGCTTTCCCAACGATATATAAGCAAAGCTAGTGTGGTGGTCCCAGCAGAGCCAGCCTGAGCATTGGGAGATTCATCCACAGGGGAGTACAGCCTTCAAACACTGGCAAACATGATGATGATGAAAGTAGAAGAGCTGGTAGGTACAAGCTTCTTTCATTTACTCGTAATTACTTTCCTTTCTAGACTGTCATTGTACCAGCCTTTGTGGATCACTGAGGTGACAGAGCAGTGCTCAAAACCTGCATCTGTTATAATTCCTTATCCTACTATAGTTCCACTAACTTCTGCTAGGGAAGGGGGCTTGCCACTGGTATAACTACACAGTCATTTGAATTTTGCATCAGAACATAACTCACCAGGAAGTACAGAATGACCAAAATTTAGCTGTGTATTTTCCCTTGATCTTGACTGACATACATATACTTGTAGAGCTACTAACTTCAAAATCCTAATCCAGTACGAGACTAGGGAAAAGACAGCAATGCAGGGAAACCAAATTATTCTCTTTCCACTTTTAAGCCAACAACAGGCATTACTAACAATTCCTATTTTCACTGCTGTGCATGGTACAAGTTTTGAAAGCCCCTATCTAAACCAGATCTCAAGCAATAGAACTTTCCACTGCAGAGTTCAGACTAACAATGACCAACAGACTGGGGAAAGAGGAGCAATCCAGTAAAGCACTGGAGCATTACACAGGAATATTTTTTTCTCCAGATGGCACAGTTAAGATGAAACTCACATACACTGACTAGCCAGTACCATCCAAACTCTTGGCAAGGCCTTAACAATTTCTCTAGTATTAAAATTTATAACAAACACGACTTTACAAGGGTGATTGAACAGAAATCTAGTCAAGAAAGCATACATTTACTGAACCACTTCAGAGTTCATCCTAAGTTCATCAAAGTTGGGGTTGGACTCGATGATCTCTGGAGGTCCCTTCCAACCCCTACAATTCTGTGATTCTGTGTGATTCTGTGATTAACCCACATAAAGTTCATCATCCTCTAAGTTTAACAAGTTATCCCTTTGAGCATACTTAATAAGGCATCCAAAATATTTCCAAAAGCTATGAAGAGCTGTGCTGCAGCACAGCATCACACAGCTTCAGCACAGCAGCTACCTCACATTCATTTGCCAAGTGCTATAAATGGGGACTTCGGTACTGACAGCAGTGCATAAGATCAGCCTTGAAATTACTCAGCATCCTGATTTAACTGCACAGTTTCAGCTAGACTGTAAGGTCCCAAGGGGAAAGCATGTCCTCCCACTCTGGCATCTCATTTCCCTTGCTCATGAGGTGCTGGTGCCTGCTCAGGTTGGCTCCTTCCAGCAGAGCCTTTTACAGCTTTCTGATAGGTCTGACACACGGCGAGAGGAAATGTAAGAAAATTCTGAAGAAAAAGGATGTTGTTCACAACTCAACAGCTTTTGTCAGCACAGCAGCAGCTCAGTGCCAGTTGAGCACTGAGTTACAGCAAGGTGGCCTCATGAACCTGACCCAAACCCCGAGGATGCCAGCAGGGGGTTGCTCTGGGAAAGTGGAAGACCTGCCTGCAAGCAAGCCTGCCCCAGCTACCCACACATATACTGCACATCAGGCTGAATGAGGCCTGCAGTCAGTCTGCCACACACTGATCCATCATCCCAGGGGGTGCTTGCTGCGGTCATCAAATTGATGCTCATAACATATTATCTTTACAGGTGACTGGGAAGAAAACTGATGATAAAGATACCGGCAGCTTCCTCCCAGAGGACTTCAAAACTGGAGAGTATGAAGCTGCTGTAAAATTAGAGAAGCAAGATGACCTAAAAACAGCCTCTGATCACCTACTAACCCAAGTAGATATGGCTCCCGGGAAGCAGAAGCATGAGGCAGAGGTAGGCTCTTGGATTTTGTACTTGGGCTTTTATCATCTTTACACACTTTCTTCAGAGCTCCATGAAGTTCTGCCTCTTTCTAAGTTAGAAATACATGCACGCTAGGCCAGATAAACAAGCCCCCAGGAAGTCACTGCCAAAGGAAGTTGGTCTAATGCCCACCAAACGCAGAGATGTGCCGAATCCTGCAGCTGACTGATGAAGGCAGTAGCTCTGAAGCGGATCCCATGAACGAGAATTCATTTGGAAAAAAAACATGCCATGTGTCAGTACCTCACCAACTTATTTACAAACATATTATTTAAATACATTTAAAGGATAGAATTTGTCATGAGATAGTGCTTTACTTTGAATCACTCTTCCAAAGCCAAGGACACTGCGTCATACCTGAAATCTTATGCTTCAGCAAAGACAACACACTTGTCATTGATGCTAGCAGTGCCCTGTACTCACTTCATGCAGGGATGCTTTAACAAAGGAGGCTTGAACAAGACTTAAATACTTATCGAATTGTCCCTTCAAAGACACCGGCAACATTCTTTCTAGTTTATCAAAATGCAGCACTTACTGATTGAAATGCTAAAATTGCTATAAATCACATACTTCATTTAAGGGTACACGTGTTTTTTTTTTATTATATAAAAAAGGATTAAGATAAATCAGTGGCTACCACATGAAAGTGGTTGAAGGCAAAGTGATTTGTGGAAGTCAGTTAAACCTACAGGGGCCTCCCAGTCCTCATAAGCTGCAGATGTCTTAACTTGTTGGACCAAAAGGGACTGCAGGGCTGCTTTGACTCCTGGCCTTGCACAGGCCAGAAAATCTCATGATATCCCACAACATATGGCTGAAGAAAGCATTTAGGAAAAAGTGCAATGATGCATGAAAAAACTGTGTAAGAAATTCTGTACCTTTTACACTTTGCAACTTAATCTAATGGTCCATTAGCCATAGCCCCAACACAAATCAAATCAAATCAAAACAAAAACTTATTTCAAAGTTAACTCTGTCTGAACTGGATTCAACTGAATGGTAATACCCACTGTCCTGCCACTCTAGAGGGAAGGTATGTTCAGTCCCAGCTCAAACTGCTGCCTCTCCTCATTTGTTTCAGTTGAAGATGAAAAAACTACAGGAGAAATCAAAACTCGAAAGCTTGGAGGACCTTGAAAAAATTATTCAGCTGAAGAAGAAGAAGAAATGCAGGAAAGTGAAAGCTCCCCTTTTAAAGGAACCCGAACCAGAAGTTATTGTAAGTTCTGCTGTAAGCTCCTTTGGGAAAGAACCAACTAGCTTTTGTGCCACTTGTATTCACCTCCTGTATATTTTTCTCCATTAGACAGGGCCAGTGGACATAGCCATGTTCTTCAGAGCTGCACTGGAGAATAAGTTGCCAGTCATTGAAAAATATTTGTCAGACAAAGGAGATCCCAATGTCTGTGATGAGGTATGCTCTTTTTCTTACTCTGCAGCCTGCTGCACAAGAAAGTTTATTACAGAACAAAATTAACTTTCACCAGTAGGTTTTATAGTATGCACAGTTTTGAGGAGAAAAGCACTGGAAGTGGGTTGGGGTAAACAAACCCTGGAATTTTAACGTATTATGTATTCCATTGATAAAGGGCTGCTGGGATCCTCCTAAGTAACGTTACTTCAAAAGAATCCTTACATTTCAAAGAGAGATATTGGTGACCAGGAGACCCTGATTTTCTGTAACGGATGCTCTTCTAATGCTACAGATAAACAGATAAGAAATTTGTCTGCAGAAATACACACACAAAAAAGTGATGCTGCTGGCCCTTGTACTCCATAATGCATAAGCTGCATTTGCAAAATACAGCATCGTGTGTTGAATGCAGGAATCAAGAGGCATCATTTTAATGCCACACTGCAGATATTCCTCACACCTTTTTAAATGCTGGATAGGCAGATCGCTGCTATTAGAATGCTATTAAAATTTAGCAGATTTCAGGTCTCAAAAGCATTAGCTCTTGAAAATGAATCAGCATAATGCGTGGATTTGCCATCATTCCAGAGACGCAAAGATAAAAGATTTAAAGAGACCTCTTTGTGCCATATTTGATATCTGACTTAGCACTGTTTTAATTGACAGTACAAGCGTACTGCATTGCACAGGGCATGCTCTGAAGGACATCTAGAGGTGGTCAAGAAGTTGGTGGAAGCTGGAGCCCTGCTTGAACTGAAAGATATGGTATGTTCATTAACACGTACTTTAAAATTTGCTCAATGTTTTGTAACTGGTAAAACAAACACAAGAAAAGCGACAGACTTTACCCTATCTTTCAAGTTTATCCTCAGAATAACACTGCTGAGGTTTCAGGAGGGGATGTCTGTCTTTCTGGGCCAAAACGTTTTGAAGTAAAATGCAGGAATGGGAGGACCATGTTCACCAACAGGCTGCCACAAACCATAAAGCCCTAAGAAGGGTAGGACATCTGAGGTCAGGCTACCACATCGGGCTGTGAGCAGCTACTGGAGGTAGCAGGGCCCCACAAGGCCCAGTGCAAAGTATACATTTTCCACCAGGAAATCTTTGTGCTCCTGAGAGACATCTTCTCTGCTGAACACTAACCGTGAGGGTTCTGCAGCTGTTTTTTCACTCCTCCACTTCCAGCTCTTTGTTTGCTAAATAGATGGCATCAACTAGCCTTGTTCCCCTCACTCAACCAGCCATGCCCACAGTGCTGTAAGAAATCAGAGGAATAGTGAGCAGAGCAAGACCTGTAGGGAAGGGGCAGCCCTCCAAGCAGAGAATTGGTGTTGGAGAGATGGAGGGCTAGATTACAGAGGCTGTTAATTGAAATGGCTCAACAATCATGGAAAACTGCTTTAAGTTAAATTGCATGACAGATGATTTTGAATTCATTTA